TCGCCGAACGTATAGGAGGTATGTCATTAGAGCTCACTCTGTGAACATACTGGGTAAACGGATAACATGAGTATGTCTTTTCGCAGGAGGCATATCGGTTGACTACATTCATTCCCTTGATCCTATCAAACAAGATGAAGCAATGCCAAGTCTGGGACTGGATGTTCTGTTGAAAGCGCACGAAAAGTTAGGTGAAGCGAAAGTCTGCGGCCATGATAAGGTATGTTCTTTTCTCTCGCCAGGAGAAATATATGGATCATACAGCAACTGCTCTCGAGGAATCTTATCCTGACTTACATCTGTGAAAAAGTATAAGGCCAGCATAGGCATACGAGCTAGAACTGCATTTGGTAGAAATTTCTTCTTGCGTTTGTTGCAAAAAGTAAGCTAAGATGGTGCCGCATAGCGATGACTACCCACAACTTCTATCAGAACGGCCTGATCTTTTTTGTGATTGTGAAAGAACAATCTTCATGATGTCACGGATGTTGTTTTCTATTCTCGTACTCCTTTATGCTTAATTTCATGGAACCATCGCTCTCATCATTCTTTGAGACGCAAGTATAGTTTTCATTGGGTTTTTACTCTTTCTAGGGTGCTTTCTTGCTGTTTTACATGGAGAAATTACATGCATGTATATCCAACGAAAGTGTTGTGTCAGTATTGCGTCGAGACGACTTTTCCTGGTTGTGGTCAAATGTTTCAGAAGAGATATCTCAGTGTCTTTACTGTGTGTTTGGGTAAGTCATAGAGCGGCTTCGGTGTTTTCTTCGAAATACAGTGGAAATATCCCCTTTACAGACGGTATTCGAAACGTCGACGAGCACTTGAAGATCATGAATGTTCCGTTAGGTCATCGCATTCTCGACAAGTATTCGACAATGGTGGTAGAGCTCGCTATGCCGCATCCCTTGCCACAGTATGATGACAAGGTAAATGATAAATATTGTACAACATTGCTAGAGACATTGTATTGATCAAGTTTTTCGCTGTCAGGATCGTCTCGGCCATGATGTGGTGGACCTCCTCCTGAATAAGTTCCCGTTTATGCTGAAGTATTCTGATGAGAGAAAGAAAGTAATGGAAAAGTTCACCACGTGGATGCATCGTGCTGCTACTGACGCCTCAGTGGATCGGTAAGCATGAAAATGCTGACGCTGACTGGAAGCTAGACATTTTACCTGCTAAATATGAGTACTCCCTTTCGCCGGATGATTGCAACCTTATTGAAACGGATACAAGTTTAAGCTCAACGGTTTGATTCCAAAATAACCGTATTCATTCTCTGAACCGGTAAACTTGTATCCGTTCCAATAAGTTCGGCATTGAAGCCGTTTAGTGAGATCTCGTTCATAGTCTACGATTCAGTCGTGCGGTTGGAGATCGCGCTATTCGCAATTGCAAATCGCACGATTGGCGTTATCAACACTGCCACTATTAGCTGTGTGTGTCTACGGTTTCTTACTATATCGTAGTTCCTCGACACTGGTACTTACGATTAGTGTTTTACTAACTCTCAATATTTCGATAATTAGTATTTATTGTTTGCTGCTCAGTAGCAAAGTCCCGCCCATCTCTGATCTTTTAGTGCAATTTTTTTACTGCTATTTGGTGAAATTCCTGCCGCGCGAAGCCGGCGATACTACGCGATAGCGCCAATCGCGCGATCACTGTTGCCCTATCTTGGTTGCTCTTGTATCAAGACTTTCATGATCGTTACTGTCACTTAGGAGTCGGTGGCTTTCGCCTAGAGATACCGAGAATTCTCCTGCTCACTAGAAATCCTGTAAATCAATTTAGTTCTTGTTTGTAGCTTGAAGTGGCCAGTAGTAAAAGACGAATCCTATGTGCAGTCATGTGTTTGGTATCTTATGGCGTTGCATCACTACCGTTCGAGCAATTACAATGAGATTGAGACCTACTCCAAGGTAAGCGTATGCATTCCACCATTTGCTCATATGTATGGCTCACTCTATCTTTCAGCTGTTTCTCACAAGTGGCCATGCTACTCTGGAGAGTCGAGTTACAGCTGGAGCTTGGGCTGTCTTAGCTTACACGTCAGTTTACCGCGTGTTCCAGGTAATTGAGTTGAAAATTGTCATGGTAGTTTTCCTCAGAAGGTTCTCTGAAGCTGATAGCTCAAGGAGTG